TATTAAACGTTTCACAATTAGATTCCTATGACAAAAAATTGCACAAATGAATTTTCAGTGGAAGGTGTTAAATTCTTGGGGACTCAATTGAGAAATGTTTGGTAATTTAGAGACCTAAACGAGGGAAGTTTTAGTTTGTAAAATACTTTCACACTGGATATTTCATATAACCCTTTTAATGTGTTAATGAATATGATATAACACTCATATTTTTATTTGGAAAAAAAAACTTTACAAAAAAATATTTTGATTCAACCGCCTTTTTTTTTAATTACTTGTTCTAAATGGAATATAAAATCAACAACCACCAAAGTTCGATCTCAAATTATAACTGAAGTATTTTTCTGTGTCATTTCGTATATCAAATCCGTCTCTATATAAATAGATTTTAAATATGGTATATTTTCATTCTAACAACAGATATAAAATAATATTATTTTTATTTCAACTTTTTGTTTACCTTGTTAATTGTGCAGATGATGCTTGAGAAGGAGAAGGGTTAGCGGGTGCAGGAGGTGACAAAGGTATAGGAGGTATAGGAGCAGAGGAAGGAGGGGGCGGAGCTAAATAACCGAAATCTCCTGTAAACAAGTAGTAGAAAAAAAACACACACACACACACACAAAGTTAAATTTTGAATAATAAGAAATATCACAATAAAAAGACTAAGCATTTACCACATAGAAGAAGGTTTTTTGGGGCTGGTCTCTCCGTTAGAGAATTGGAATCAGAATCATAAACTCTCAAGTAGAGCTCTTGGCCTAGATACCGATTTTTCAAAGTTTGAGATCTCAAATTCCACATTCCAGGATTGTCAAGGCATGCATAGACTGCAGTCCAAGTTTTGGGATAAACCTGAAAAAAAATGTTTTTTTTTTTTTTTTTTGAAATTAATTGAACACAAAATGGCCATCCCACCTTATTAAACATTATTTTTCTGAAAAACATCAAGTAAAAATTAAATCCATTAACATGTACCTACCTGAGTCGTCGAACGAACGACTGGATTATAAAGATTGTAACTATTACGTGATTCCGATGTCCAATTTTCATTTCCAAATCTAAACATCAAAAATCAAAAATTTGCATTTGTAAATGTATACAGAAAAATAAAATATAGATATTTTTGTTATTGCACTTACCCAACAACGTAGAAACCGTAACCATCCAAATGCCAAGAATCCATGACATCTAAATCATTCTTGAGCACAACTTCTAACCACCCTTCATAGTTTCCACTTGAAACAAAAGCTCCAAATTCTAGATCTCCATTACTAGAGTTGGTAGAATACTCATCAAGTACATAAAAACCAGACCGATTTGTCATTAGATCAGCCAGCTTTAACGGAGTAAAACGTGGTATATCAGAAGATACATTGTTGACTGCATACTGAGAAAAACCGTTAGTCTTAACTGCTGATCCGGTAAAAATAAACGTTTGCGACAGTGTCACATTGGTCACATTAAAGGTTCCTTGTGGATTGGGTCCAGCAGCCCCTGTAGTCATATTCCACCTAAACTCACATATAAAAAAAAATTACAAATTCTCAGAATCTCCTGCCAAAGAATTTACAGGAGCAAAACCAAAAAATAACGAAGGTAATTGAACAATTTTAAAAAGATTTACTTGATGGACTTGGCTTGATTAATGGAGAATTGTAGATCAAATGGGTCAGGCCCACTTGGAAGAGGCCCAGTGGGCATTGTACTAGAATTGAGATATTGTAGCACTCCTATGCCCGCAAGATTGCTAAATTCAAAGACATTAACCATTTTTGGCGTTGCCACAATGTAATAATCAGATGCATTTTGGTCGGCTGTGACAAGAACTGAGTAGGACTGGCCAACGTGCACATCAAGGGAGTCCACCGTTATTTGATTAGTGTATGATCCTTCAGTTTCAACCACCAACATTTGATGATTTTGAATCCTAAAATTGAAACTCCATTGATTTCCCACGTTGGAGATTCTAAATCTGTATGTTTTTCCTTCATATTATATAGCATAAATAAAAATAAAAATAATTAATTCAAGAGAGTTCCAATTAATTTATATATAGCAAGATAAATAGGCTTTATTAATTAGATAATAATTACCTTGAGCAACTGTAAAAGATTCATAAAATTTCGTAGAAGAGTTTAAATATGGAGGTTTGCCATTCATTAGCATCCAATCAGGAACTGTAGAGTCGTCCATCAACATGTACATAAGATCCTACACCCATCATTTACTAGATTAATCGATCATAGTTGAAAATCAACAATATTCATTCTGAAAAATTATGTATAAAAAAGTCATAATAATATTTAAATAAGACCAAATATTTCTTCATTGCTTACCTTGTAACTTTGTGAATACCAATCACCAATAAGAAGGTCAAATTCATCTTCTGGTTTAGGGAATGGTACATTTACAACTATGCGATTGTTAACTCTAATGGGACCAAATCCTCCCCCAGCTTTCAGGCTATAGATGGAAGGAAAGTAGAAGAAAGTGCCAATTTGGTCCTTGACCTGGAACACGTAAGTCCAATTTAAACCAGGCACAATTGGACAGTTTGTGCCACCTACTCCATCTTGCCATGAGTTCAGTCTTTGTTGTATCCCATTCCTGCACCAATAACCCCCATCAGAATCATTCAAAATCTAAAGAAAACACAGTTGAAAGAAGCTTCCTGGGTTAAAAAATAATGGTTACTTAGAGATTATAGCCAATACCATGTGAACAAAATTGGCTCATCCATTTCATTAAACACGTTAATATGGATGATATCATTGGTGGTGGCATTGAGAAGAGGTCCAGGGAATTTCCCATTGATGAGGATAACCTGTCGAGAAAAAGATAGAGAAATTTTCATGCAACGAAACCAAAGTAGATGTCTTAAAAGAAAAATGGATTCTAACTATATGAAACATCACCGGTTGTTCTACAGATACTGGGTTGATAGTATTGTCAACTGTAACATGCCATTCTCGAAAAATTTCCTCACTATTGACTGCCTTGACAAAGAGAGTGAGAATAGCCACCAGAAAAAGTTGCCTTAGAATTTGATTGCAGAAGATGGCCATTTTTTGTTTCTTGGAGGCTTGTTACCCTTTAATCGTTGGACGAAGCAAAGGTCAACCTATTTATGTGCATTAGTGGGGACAAATTTTGGAGTAAAACCATGCAGGCCTTGATTTATTCAGCACAACGCTTGTTGTTAAGATATCGAAGCTAATACTAATGTCGTATGTGTGAGAAATTAAATTACCCAGTAATTCAGATTGCCAACTCATATATTTACTTTGTTGTTTTGATTGGTACAATATCCAACCATAAACAGACAGGTACGTGTTTGTTTTTAATCTTTAAAATAGCTTTAAAACAAAACATGCTTAGAGAGATAAAAATAAATTGGTACCAATATCAGTGGCAACGGAATTCTTAATTTTTTTTTTACACGTTAATGTTAAATCTGTCTTTATATAATCTTATCATTTTTTTTTAATTTTTCTTTATATTTTTAAGGAATTTCCCATTTTTTAAAATTTTTATTATCTTTTTTAATAAAATTTTGAAATTAAATTACTAAAATTAATCACATGATTTACAAATAATTTTTTATTTATTTATCTGAATTTATAAAACATTTTCAAAATGAAAAATAGTCATTGAGAAATCACATAATTAATTTTGTTGATTTTTCATGAAAGTCTTGTCAAAGGACATGTGATTTGCAGATAATCTTTTTTATTTATTTGATTTTGAAAGGTATTTTGAAAAAAAAAAAACAGTTATTGACAAATTACGAGACTAATTTTGATGATTTTGTCAAAAAAAAATTGTTAAAATAATAAATTTGAAAGTTAAGATATATTGAAGGATAAAATTAATTTAAGTAGAGATAAAAAAACATATTATAAAATTATTTTATTATATAAAGATAAACCTTTATTAATATTTTTTTATATATATGTGTGTAATTTTTTATTTTAAAATGATCCAAGTTAATTCCTTGCTTGTTGGTTCGATTCCAACAAAGTGACTCCTGACTTTGTTTGGAGATGTGAAATGTAGAGAAAGCTCTTTTGATCTAAGCCTAGGTCCATAGGCAAGTCTGATCACCACGGCGGCGCAGAAAGCAATGGAGTGGAAGATGGACCTAGCAACTGAGTGGCGGACACGCGTACATGGAGACAGTTTGCTTTAACGGATTTGGGAGTTCCCAAAACTGGCTGGTGGCAAGGCTGATACCTCCTCCATGCCCTATCGATTTGTATTTCTGAAACTACAGGTGGTTAGGATGCAGACATCCAAATATTCAAAATATGAGATTTTTCGAGAAATAATTTTCGAAAAATACTCAGTAACATTATACTTCAGAATAAAGGTCAATATCTATATAATTATGATTTTTTTTCTTTTTTTCTTTTTTGATATTTACAGATAGTAAGATATTTTTAGATTAATTTTTACATCAATCAAAACTAAATCCGTCAATTTCTATATTAAACCAACATCAGAATACATTTAATTTTTTATTAATTATTAAACTGTTTTTAGTCAAATTATTCAAAATTTGATGTTACTAAAAAATAATTATCACTAATTATTCGTAAAAATCGATATAATTATGGAAGTGTAAAGAAAAAAATTAAGCTTGATCGAAATGTAAACTGTTTAAATAAATTTTTTATAAGTTGAATTACTGTAGCATTACATCTCATATGAAATTTAATAACTGCAGTTTTGGTATAAAAAAATTTAAAAAAATTGTTATTGATACTGTAATTCCCTGACAAGCAACAACTCGAGACATCATAAAGCCTAGATCATACAACCCATTGGCAAATATTTTCCTTAATTGTTACAAGTCAAGTCACCACAGGAGATAATTATTTGATGAACTGTAGACAAATTCAATATAGGAATAGAATGATTGTATGCAGGAAAGAAAACCCTTCAAAACTTTGTTGATGATTATCACTTGATCAAGTTTTTCAGTCACCAAATCACTATCATGCAGATGGAACAGGAACGGGTTCGCTGGCTGGAGACTCAGAATCAGGAGCAAAAATGCCTGTTACAAGCAACCCAAGTTAACATTACCAATAGCAAATTAAATAAAAGGAAATCATGCAATAAGTTCATGAAAATTGCACTGACCACATAGAAGCAGGTTGCTAGGCGGTGGACGCTCCTTGGCAGGGTTAGGATCAGGGTCGAAGACTCGAATGTATAGTTCTTGGCCCAAGTACCAGTTTTTCAAGCTTTGTGACCTGAGGTTCCACATTCCAGGATTGTCAAGGAAAGCATAAACTGCAGTCCATCCGTTGGGGTACACTTGCACGGTTGACCGGACAACTGGATCGAAAATGTTGTAATCTTTGCGAGCTTCAGGTCCCCAAAATCCATTGCCAAATCTGGGATTGAAAATTAATTTCACATAGAACAATTATGAGTCAATCATCTTAGCTTTGGAAAGGAATTATAGAAATGGTGATGATTTAGAAATTTTACCCAACAACGTAGAACCCGAAACCATCTAGATGCCAAGCATCTATGGTGTTCAAACTATTTACAAAGACAAGTTCTATCCATCCTTTGTGAACTCCAGTAACTACAGAAACTCCATAAGAAGCCTTAGAATTGACAGAATTAACTGGAAACCAATCTAGTTGGTAGACACCAGAGCCGTTGACGAAGTGATCTGCAAGTTTTAATGGGGTGTTTAAGGTGTAGTATGACACATTGTTGACAGCATAGCGTTGTGAACCTTCAATTTCTGCCATTAATCCGTCTAGGATGAAGGTTTGAGACAAGGTGATATTTGTTACATTAAAAGCTCCTTGTCGGTTAGGCCTTGCAGCACCTGCTGTCAGGTTCCACCTAGTATGCAGAAAGGAGTATAATTATAGGAGAATAAGTAATGAAAATTACTTGACAGGCAACAAACGAAGTTGGTGAAGGTTCAAGCCTAACTCGAAGATTGAATATAAATCTTTGATGAATTGAAACTTTTTCCAAATTTACCTGATAGATCTAGCTTGATTGACAGAAGAATCCAGATCAAATGGATCAGGACCTCCCGGTAGAGGGCCATTAACTGGTGCAGGGGAATTCGAATAGTGTAGCACCCCTGCGCCATCAAAACCACTAGAACTGCTAGTGTTGAGCAACAAAGGGCTTGCCACGAAGTAGTAATCAGCCTCATTCTGATCAGCAGTGACAAGAACCGAGTAGGATTGGCCAACATGCACATCAAGAGAATCCAGTGTTATCTGATTGGTGTAAGACCCTTCTGTTTCCACCAAAACCATCGTATGATTTTGAATCCTGAAGTTGAAACTGAAGGCACTCCCAACATTTGATATCCTGAATCTGTAAGTCTTTCCTGCATCACAAACGCAAGCGCAAGCCAGAGAACATTAGTCATCTTGCACCATAAGCCTAATGGATCGGATCCCAGTTTCGCATAATATAGATTTTTCTTTTCCATTTTTTGGGTGGGAGGAGGTTATTTTACCTTTTGTGACAGTGAAGGACTCGTAGGCTTTTGAGGATGAATGGCCATAAGGGCCTTTGCCATTCGTTAGAATAACATCTGGGGTAACAGCATCTGCCATGGTTTCCATCAATGATCTGGTTTTCTGTGACAATCATACAAATAAAGTGTTTTGTCATCATACAGATTCTAGAAAGAAGTGTGATATGTTTTCATGGGCAAAATTCAGTTACTCACGTTGTAACTATCATAAAACCAATCACCAATCAGAAGATCAAACTCAGCTTCTGGTTTGGGGAAGGGGACAGCAATGACGTTGCGATTGTTGACTCTAATTGGTCCAAATCCTCCAGCAGCTTTCAGGAAGTTGATAGAAGGAAAGTAGAAGTAACTGCCTATTTGGTCCTTAGTCTGAAACGCATAAGTCCAGTTTGTACCGGGTAGAATAGGACAGTTTGTCGCAGAAACTCCATCTTGCCATGAGTTTAATCTCTGCTGTATGCCATTCCTACAGCAACATCACCTTTATTACAGCATCTTATTATTAAAAAACTGCTTGGATTCATGAAATGTTAATACATGAATAAATTCAAGAAAAATTGCTCTTGCGCTTCATGAAAATCATCATTCGTTAAGCAAGATATTCTTTCCTGGAATATTACCATGTAAAGAGCAAAGGTTCATCCATCTTGTTGAAAACATTGACATGGATGAAATCGTTTGTTGTAGCATTGATCAGAGGTCCAGGGAACATCCCATTGATGGTAATAACCTGTACAAATGTAAAATATTTCCTCCGTAAGAGCCAAAACTACCCATCGGCAGAGTTAAATGCAAAGAAAGCAACAGAAAATGATTGATTAGAGCCCATACTGGTTGTTCAACAGCAACAGGTCTGATGGTATTGTCAAGTGCAACATTCCATTCAAGGAAGATATCAATTCCACTAGCTCTCGCAAGGAACACTACAAGCAGTGTTGCACTCACTGTTAGCCTCCTGTGGTAGCCCAGAGAAGCCATTGCAAAGCACAAACTGCATTCAACTGAATTCTCTATTTGAGAGTATCTATACAGCAAAGGTGTTTCTTTATAGAAAGGAGAAGAATGGAACCTCCTTAAGAAATTATGGTAAAAAAACAAACTGAATGGGAAAAGAAAGGAACACTACTATTAGTTTTGATATAAACGCCAGGGAAATGGATGTTCTTTTAGTATATGGAATTTTGCAATTCAATTTCGGACAGAAAGCAAGCCGGGCAGCCGGCACCCACTGCAGGTTAATGTAAAAACATAAGGATAGTGTTGATTCCTGCAGCCTTGTTTTGCCCAACCCATGTAGCCAAGTTGACTGAAGCCAAACTATGTGCTAGCTGTTTAATTTCTATCTCTTTGACGCATTCCATTCCCATTGGAGGACGCCCCATCTCTTCCTTATACCAAAATTTGTTGTCTTTGGTCATTGAAAAATTGTTTTTATGATTATAATGCAGTTCTCAGCAAGCTACTAGAATATATTGATTGTCTTGAAAGAACTGCATGTTTCATATTTAGGGTCAAAGTTTCTGAGAGAGAGAATTTTCTTACTGAAATTCGTGAATTCAGCATAGTTATGTGCATTTCTCAGAACAATATGGTTGAAATTGGAAATTAAAAGCTGGTGTATTTTCGCTTAATGGACAAAATCATTTGACACTTTATATATCTGATACTTTCTGAGGGAGAGAATCCCATTATCTGCTAAAACTAGCTGGCTTTTCCAGATCTCTACAATACCGATATCAGTCCTAGTTAGATGGATTCAACAGAGTTTTGTTCTTAAACTTCAAAATCGAAATTCATTTGAAACTGTTGTCTTGCTTATCATTTGAAAAACTCATCTTTCAGCTACTGAATTTTTTATATTATGAACCCATATTGTGTCAGTGTTGGTTAACCAAATATTGCTAACAGTCTCAACTTCCAAAAATTTTGAACTTGTAATTCTCACCTCTCCACTATTATGAATCGTCATGGTGATCCCCTGAGGTACGGCAAACACATCACGGCCAGCATGACATGCTGCTGGATATTATTTCCAGCAGAAACTACATGAAAATCAACTGATTGATGTCTTCCCTCTAACTCAAAAACTCAGGACTACTACCATCAATTACCACTTTTGCTTCACCCCCAACAAATTACTATACAAATGAACACAGTTATAACAACATTCTTATTTTCTGCTTTCAACAACGCATTCTTTCTTAGAGGGGCTCGAATCCGAGACCCCAAGACCTCACCTCCCTGGAATGGGGAATGTGGATGCCAATTAAGCTCAAGTGGCACATATATATCTACTTTTCTATCCATATTACATCTTCTATTTGGACAAAGTATTGATATCAAGCTGTAAAAGATGTTACAAACACTGCACTTCCCGAAACATCACAAACTATAATGGAAGCAGTAAAAAGATGACCACGATAATAGATCTTCAAGAAAAAACTCAAGGAGATCTGGCCACCCAGTTTCCATTAGCACCAGTTCGCCTTCTATCGATTTGCCACCCCCTGTACTCATTGCAACTTAGTATTAAAAACATTTTAATTAGGTGCAGCAACCACCTGTATCCATTGCAACTTAGTAATACAAACATTTTAATTAGGAGCAGCAACTGCCGCCACCACGAGTTGCCTGATGTACTTGTTTCTCTTTCATAATCTGTTGTTTCACTACTACCGAGCCATTTTCCAATAAACTAGGTACCTCCAGCATCTATAAAGCACAAGAATTGATCAGAAATTGTACAAGCGATTAGACAAGATGATAACCATAAAGCATTCTACATTCTACCTTTGGATAAGTGAACTTTTCAACTGTGTTCTGCAACTAACCATATGAAGTTCACGATATTGGCATGCCTACTTCAATACACCTTTGCACAGTTTTTCAGAATGGTGCAAGTACTTTCCAAGTATGGTTACAAGAGGGGTTGAGGTGGAGTTTTTTTTTTCCATAAGCATTCTTCATAAGGTTTAACTACCGTTAATTGACTAATAGCACATTTTTCAGATTCAGACCACTATAGATAAAAGGACAATTTCTTCATCAAGAGTATACCTGTAATGTGAGTTCTTTAAAACATTGCAAAACATTTTCGCTGGTTTTAGCACTGCATTCAAGAAATGAACATTTATGCTCTTGAGCAAGAGCCATCCCCTCTTCTCTACTTACAGCTCTTTCACTATCCTGAAAGCATTGCATCATTAAAACAACATACCCAATAAAAACACGCACTTTAAAGATATAATAACCGAACCAAATCCAAGAAGTTCCTCTCGGAAAAGATGCAAAACTTTGATAGCTCATGACATCTCCAATATGATGAACTCTAATACTTAATGTGCATGTATTCAGGTGTCTGAAGTATTGACCACTCAACTTACCCTATCAACTTTGTTTCCAACTAGAATTTTGATACAGTCATTATTCGTGGAGTAGAGCTCCACTTCCTTTGCCCATATGTCTGACAAGTTCTCGAAGGTTTCTCGTCGTGTCACATCATAAACTAAAACGAAATCAAAGCACAAACTAATCAAGATTCAATACATCATGCATATTGCAAGGATAAGCAAACTAATATTGCAGTTTAAGTATAGGCCTGACTGTCTCCTTTGGTTCTTACGCATCAACAGAAGGGAAGAAAAAACAGATGAAAGACACACCTGTGTGTATGCTATGCAATCACACATTAGTTGCCTATTTGCATTAAGCATTTAAAGCAGCAATCGCTGTGGCATTCATATTTCGTATAGTATAAAACCGCAATGGACATTATAAAACAAGTATACCTCTGCATGAGTTGTTAAGCTAACATTTGACTAATTTAGTTTGTTTAACTAAACAATAATTATCAAAGCTCAGGTAAATGAAGAGTTGACTCGAGTTTAAGAAAGGCTATCTTTAACTATATTTAATAAATGCTTACATAGTTGGCATACATACCAAGGATAATTCCATGTGCACCCCTATAATAAGAGCTTATTAATGTTCCAAACCTCTCCTGCCCAGCTGCAATATAGCAGAACACGTTATTCACAATTGGATTACGCTATAATGCAGGATGCCTGTCAAATCCAATTTGATACATTTATCAAAGGGAGTAGTATTGAATTCAAATAAATGGTTGGCAACCTTGATTTCATCTGAGCTATATTAAATTTCTCTTTAGGTCTGAAAGGAGTGTGTATTAACAATGAACAGAGAAGTAACATGTAATAAACTTTAACACATGGTGCAGTTGAGTAAGACAACATCATGGACTAGGTTTATGCAATTTAGGAATCTATCTACAGAGAAACAGTTTGGTTGCAGTTTTTTGACAGCAAAACATGAGAAATGACACCTTCCTCTTATTACCTGTGTCCCAAATTGTTAGCTTCAATCTTTTGCCACCAACGGTGAGCTTCTTGATCTTAAAATCCACACCTGCACAATTTTTAAGCCTTTTGCTTTACAGCACAATAGATTCCAGAGCAGTTCAAAATGGAAGACTAAAAAGACACAAGCAAGGCTAGTGATTTTAATGGACTAGGGACCTAATTAAAGTTCATGGCAGCATCTAATTTCTTCAGAAAATGGAGCAACCATATGAAGAAATTAATCAAACAATTGAAAAAGTGTTCCCTTTTCTGTTTATCATATATTAATGACTTCGAAATTTACAACCACCTCTCCTGCTATCCAAAATAGGTTTAAAGGACAACCCAGAAGCCATTTGTAGCAAAAAAGATTCATACTCCTTTGTAGCCTATTTATTGATCAAAATCTAGTTACAAGCACAAGTAGCTCTGCAAATTCCACGCACAAAATTTATAAACTAAAACAAAACAATCTCACCAAACGAAACCAAACCATATCGTCAAAACCATATTGCCTATGCATATTCAGAAAAACTTTCCACTGAAAAAACAGACAACTAAAGAACCAAAAGAAAGTACCAATAGTAGGAGAAAGGTCACGAACAGAGTTGGAGATAAAACTTAGAAGAAGACTACTCTTGCCAACACCAGAATCTCCAATCAACAGAATCTTGAATGAATAATCATAACTATTATTCCCTACTTTAGAAAAAGATCCCTCCATTCTTTCTCTAGCTCTTTACACTCATTACAAATAGAGGAACAAACCTAAACCAGACTGACTAATGGAAGTGTCTAAACGAAAGCAAGAATGATTCTACTGAAAGCTTAGATATTGAAGAGCAAGAAAGCATTAAACGAAATGGGAAATTTCGTGAGGTAGAAGGAGACACGAATGGTGGGGTTGGCAGGTAGCGATTTGATGATGTATGTCAGGTAAGCATAAGAGTTTGCTCCTTGAGACAAATGTCTTCTTTGTTTGAATTCGAACTGCTTTGATTTTGATAGCTGCACGCGCCTTTGCAGGCCTCTTGGACTTGCAAACATTACTATGTGTTAACGATTTTCGCCATTAGTTAATTTGTCTCCTTGTAATTAACTCTTTTCTTTGCTTTTAACTATTCTTTTTTCATTAATTTTATTTAATTAATGACAGTTAAAGTGAAAGAAAAAAATCTACTGTAGTAATTTTTGACTATTTATGCCAATGTGCAGGTTTAACTTTAGATTATGTCTACCTACAGGTTTATTAATTAATTATTAATTAAATTAATTAAGATAATAATCCAATGAAATTATATGAATCAATGCAATGGTTCATATTATTGCAAAATCAATTGTAGCGTATTATTTTTGTTTTGTAAAATAAAATGATCAATCAAAATTACTTGAAATAAATAAATTACCATCAACTAAAGTAGTTTTAATGATTATGCAGTTTGAATCAAATATATTAATTGGGTTCCTATAATAATATTTCATTATTACCTTTATAAAATTGAGATCCGAAATTAAAGTTAAAATAATTAACACATAGGTAATTAATTATTAATTGCTAATCAAATTTTTTTACCAATTAATTAATTGAGTTCAATACCAAATAAAACCAAAAAGGAATATTAATTCATGCAGGTTCAATAACACTCTTTCTTTTCTCTCTCCCTAGCACATTAGGCATTCAAGTCTTAAAATATTTTTAGATTAGTTTTATTAAGTTTATTATTTTCTATACTAATATAACGCCAAGCACCTTTTTTTTTTTTTGTCAATTGTTGAACTATTTTGTGCGTCAAACTAATTCAAGTATGATATCATTAAAAAGCAATTATAATTAATTATTCGTAAATAATAAAAATTAGATTTTGATTGTAAGGAATTGGGAGGGGAAGGGCAAGGATCGGGGGATCGTCATCCCCGCCCCATGCTCTAAACGGGATAAAATCTTTCATATCATTTCCATCGCAAATGAGGACATGGATCTCTGTGGGGCACTAGTGGAGGAAACAAGGGGTAAACGGAGTAAAAAATACCAAATTTTTTTTCGATCTCGTCTTGTCTCATTCTACTATCAAATTTTAAACTATAACAAAAAAAAGATAGTTTATATAAAAAATAAACCCTAAAAATTATTAATAACATATTTTATATAGGATATAATTTTAATTTTAATAAAAAAAATTTAGGAGCAAACGAAATAGAGTAAACAAATATCTTCCTTACTCCATTCTCGTTCATGAGACTCTCCATCTTGCCTCCATTCCTTGATTAATGTGAAGAATCCTCACGTTAATTTAAAAAAATTAAAATGGGATGGGATGAGATGGGACGGGACGGGATAAATTGCCATCTCTATTTTACGGTGACCAAAAACAACTCTTCGTCACCGAAAGATAACCTTCACCTGACGACACAACCACATGGAAAGAACAGATGAGCTCAAGGAAGCATCATCCTTTACGCGCTTTGAAGGCGAAGACATGATGAATATGAAGTCACTATACCTGGCCAGGAAATCCAGTAACCATGCCACAGCTCAACAAGTGTCCAACATGCAAAATACCTGCAAACAGCACGCAATTGTTTTAAGAAAACTTCACACTTGCTCCCTTTCCTTGCCACATCACCTGTTCAAATGTCAGCAATCCTTGTCTCCCCTTTATTTACCATTATCCTTTGACAATCTGTCTATTATAGTTAGTAGGTTCTTTTCTTTGACTAAATGTTACAGATGTTCAGTGGATTCAGTTGAAAATCTTGACTTTTAAATTTTTAAATTATATTTTATTTAAAATTAATTTTTTTTTATTGATTTTATCTATTTTAATAGTATAAAAATACACATAATTTATATGTGATTGATTTTTAACTTTTTTAATAATTCAAAATATACCAAAATTTATGTTTTTTTCCTTCAAATTTTATTTATATCCTTCTAAACGAACATGTTCGAGCCAAATAATAATGATTTGTGACACTTGTTTTTACACTATTTCAAAAATTTAAGTACTCAATCAATCATATGAATATAGAAAATGCAAGATTTTCAATCCTAACGAGAAAACGAGGGAAACGAATATAAGATGATGGGGGATAAGTTTTGTCGCCAAGAGGGAAAAAATCTGGGTTACTAGCTGAGACTGTTAAATGATTGCTCAGTCATAAAAGAGGTAGGAATCCAGAGACGGGTAGAAGGTTTGGTTAGAAACAATCATTCTTAGAAAAATGTCTCATATAGAACCATGCAAAATTCTCCTCTATTTGTTGCAGCTTGATAAATGTTTTTAATAGCCACTTTTCAGCAATTAACAGGGACGAAAAAGTAAAGTATCTGCAAATTTTAACATGTTTTTAACTATTAAAAAATTATATTTGCACGTTATAATCAATAAAAAATCAAAAAAATTAAATTAAATAAAAATAATTGAAAGATATTCAATTCGAAATTAGTAGTTGAAACATTAATTGTGAAATGATTTAAAATTCAACAGAATATATAGGGTTTAACCTTTTTCTTTTTCAATCAAGAATTTTGGATCAGCTTAGGTTCTATACAAATCGTTAACGGATCCTAGATAACTAGTTTATTTGTCATTTGTATATATATTTGTTTTGAAATATTTCTCTCACTATGTTTTTTAACTTCCAAATCCGAGATAAGAAAGAAATCGATCTCACTTGACAATCTAAACCAGTAGGAAATTGGTTGAACAGTATTCATTTAGATTTGTAGCTTAAAAAATTGAAAAAATATCAGAAAATCTATACTCTGCTGTTTCAAACAAAATCTTTGAATGTGCACGGAAAAAAGTGTTAAAGAGTAATACTGAAGGTATATACTTAAACTTTTTCAAAATATTTTTCTTATCACGTAAAGTGGAATTTAACATAGTCAAAATTTTCCAAAACATAAAATATGAATGTTATCATTATAATTATATTAAACTAATGAAATAAAATAATCACTAAAAAAATAATTAGCAAAGCGATTGTTGTCAAATATTATGCATAGGCTTAAATAAAACATGTGCTAAATAAAAGCCCATTACCAATCTTGAGCCTTTCAAGAAAATGGGCTTTTTTCTAACGGATGATAGTGAAGCCCTAGTCCCAATTCGAATTCAATAAACTCGTCATGATAGTCATGCACGGGCTTAAATAAAACATGGGCTAAATAAAAGCCAATTACTAAAATTGAGCCCTTCAAGCACATGGGCTTGTATTCTAACGGATGATAATGAAGCCCTAGTCCCAATTCGAATTCAATAAACTCGTCATGACAGTCATGCACGGGCTTAAATAAAACTTGGGCTATAGAAAGCCCATTATGATTCTTTAGCCTTTTAAGCACATGGGCTTGTCTTCTAACGGATGATAACGAAGCCCTAGTCCTCGTTCAAATTCAAAAGGACAATGATTTTGTTGATCTTTGACTCAGAACCAGCCAAAATTCACCACACGCATAAATATATTGGCCCTGCAAAAGTACGAATCACGGCGTCAACTTTCTAGCAGGCAATAGTTACCCTCTTCAGCCATCGAAATTCGAGCCCAACCAAAATTAAACCAAGTATTTACCACTAGTGTGTTAAATCTCGGACAGAACGCCCTTCCCGTGAGGCCACATCAATCTTGAAAAGCTCTTTATTAGTCGAGCCCAGCCAACTTTGCTGCCTCAAAAGCTGAAGCACAGTAGGGAACCAGGCATGACCATACCCATCTGGTCAAACCATAAGGTCCTTGATGATGGAGGAATCTGTCCAAACAAAGGCTCAACCAACTTCTCTTATGGGTCGATGCTTGATAATACTACAGTAAAGGAACCTAGGTCCCACGAGCCATTACTTGCCTTAGTGGACAAGTATCTCATCAGAACGTAATGTTTACCCTTCATAGGGTATTTGTTGGGTTATTTGGTCAAGAAGAGGATGCTACGTCCAATTGGGAAATTTTGTTTATTTTTACTTTTCAAGTAATGATAAGAACACCCTTTTTTTTTACTGTTTATTTAAAAATAAAAATTTCTAAAGTTTTGCCGTTTTCCTCTCTTTCTTATACCACACGCCAGATGTTGCAGATTCGCAGGTATACATAGCTTTGGGCAGGTTGCCACGACACTTGCACAATGGCGATGGTTATTTTTACTATATAAAGATCGAGGATTTATGATTTAAAAAAATGTTGGAAAAAAATTCTTTTTTGGTGAAGATAAATGAAATTCCATAACTATATGATTAAATTGGAAACAGTGGCAATGCACCCATTAGCTTCAAAGCCCTAAGATACTTATAATATTTTTTGATGTTATTTTTTATTTTCCAGAGAATGAATCTTACAAGTCACAGGAGAGTTAAATTCTTAAACGTACCATCAGTTTCATGTTTTTTTAATCCATTTTATTCATGTGAGAAATATACAGGATCCTTTCGAGCTGGATTGAGATTTGAGAGTCTCTCGAGATAAAATCACAAAAACTCGGATTGATTAGATGTTTTTATTCCCAAATTGATTTGCCTACAAACAATTTTCTAATCCAAAAAACTTTTATGACCTTATAATAATTTGATACGATCATTGAAAAACGTAGTATAGTATTAAAATGTTTGATTTGATATGACTAAAATTAAGGTTTGATTTTCATTATCTATAGGTAAATTTGTCATGATTATTTTTTGATAGTATTAGATTTGAATTATTTATTCAAACGATTTCGTGATTGACTAAAAATTAAACGTATTCGATGTTAGTTTAGTCTCGAACATAATAGACTTAGTCTCAACTAATACAAAAACTAATATGAAAATACTTTATTATATATATATATATAAACAGCATGCTAAATATCCTTATTTATTTCAAAATTAATTTGTTTATAAACATTTTTACGATAAAAATTCAAATAACTTTGACATAATAATAACAACTTGATACCATGTCAAATATCCTTATTTACTTTAAAAATAATTAGTATATAAATATTTTTTAAATCTAAAAAACTTTTACATACTCATATACTATGTCAAATATGCTTATTTATTTCAAAATTGAATTATTTGCAAATATTTGTATAATCTATATAACTTTTATTTGATTAAAACAAATCGGTATGATGTCAAATAACCTCATTTATTTTAAAATTATTCTATTTATAGTTATTTTTATAATTTAAATAATATTTATTTAATCATAACAACTCGATGCGATGACAAACCACCTTATTTAACCCTAAACCAAGATTAACTTTATTTACCTACCATAAATTTATTCATCCCTCATGTTACCTCTAATCCAAGCCATGTACATAATGCTCAAACCTCAACAAAATAGCCTCCAATCGAGCCAACCAGGATCTATTCATTCCATCACGGTCACCACTCCCTTCAAATTGCAAGGCTACTCTCTTTTCCTTCAAACATAACATATGCTGCCTATGTTTTGTCTTTTCACTCAACATTAAACCCCTCAAAAAAATAATAATCAAAGGTCGGAAATTATTGCCCACAAAAAGAACCTAAATTGCTTGCAATCGAAGGTACTCCCCTTAACTAGCCAGTTTCTTCCCCATCAATCAAGTAACCTTATCTCCACTCCCAAAAAAACCCTAGCCTCCATTTCTACTCTTTCGTCCTCCTCTAACAACCTTTGCCATCATGGGTCTTGAAAGTTCCTCACAGGAACAACAATTACGACTTTCACTGACAACCCCAGCACCACCAGTTACAGTACCAGCTAAAACGACACCAGTTAGTACTAAAACGACAGCTTTAGCTCCTGGCTTTCGATTCCACCCAACAGATGAAGAGCTTGTTATTTATTACTTGAAAAGGAAGGTTTCTAATAAACCTTTTCGTTTTAATGCTATTTCTGAGGTCGATATTTACAAAAATGAACCTTGGGAACTTGCAGGTAATTGTTTCTTTTTTTGTCTAATTATTTGGGTTGTTTTGTTGTTTATTTTTGTGAGTTTTTTTGCTGTTTCTTCTGTTTTAAGGCATTCCAATTGATGTTTTTTTTTTCAGTATCTTTATAATTTCGAGTTATTTTTTTAGATTTTAGTAGTGGTTTAAGTAATTTGTTTTTATTGGTGTTGATTCGTTTTAATGATTTTTGCAGATGTTTTGCTGTTCATTTTTGTTATTGTGTATTGTTTCTTTTAAGGCAATATAATTGATGGGTTTTCATAATTTTTTGTCCCATTTTTAGATTTCGTACTACAGATAGTGTTTTTAGGAATTTATATTTACTGGGCTTTTGCTATTTTTAATTTGTATTAACCATGACTGGCTATTATCTTTACTGGGTTGTTGGTGAATTGGGGCTTTTTTAAGTTATGCTCAATTTGGATAATACAGTTCATTTTTGGGCTATAAGTGGTGGCGTTTTATTTTATGTTTGTTAAATGTGGTTCTTTGTTTGGTATCAATTTCTTTGTATGGGGCTCTCACTGGGTTTCAATTCTGTTGGTTTGTAGATAAGTCAAGGTTGAAAAGCAGAGACCAAGAATGGTACTTTTTCAGTCCACTGGATAAGAAGTATGGAAATGGAGCACGAATGAATAGGGCAACGGGCAAAGGATACTGGAAAGCCACTGGAAAGGACCGTGAGATTCGCCGTGATTCTCAACTCCTTGCAATGAAGAAAACTCTTGTGTTTCATAGTGGGCGTGCACCAGGTGGGATGCGCACCAACTGGGTCATGCACGAGTACCGGCTTGTTGATGAAGACTTGGAAAGAACTGGATCAATGCAGGTCAGGCTGTAATAGAATTGTTTTCGGTGGTTTTAGCAATGCAGGTTTCTATATGGTTGTATTGATAATTTAGGAAATGGAAAGGAAAATAGGTATTTTGGTTTGACAATAAGAGGAGCTTAACCAAAAGTAATTGTGGAGTGGCTGAGGAATTGGAAGTTTTTCCGTTGTTATGCTATTCTAATTTTGTTTATTTTGTTTTTATCTGTGAAGATCGACTCATATGTCCTCTGTAGAGTGTTCCACAAGAACAATATAGGACCACCAACTGGGAACCGCTATGCTCCTTTTATTGAGGAGGAGTGGGATGATGGTGGAGCAGCTCTAATTCCAGGAGAAGATGCTGCTGATGAGGTGGTGGTTACTCATGATACTGGTGGTGAAATGCATCATATCGAGCAGGTCTGTGCTCTATTTGGCTTTTTCTTCCATGTTGAAGTATTGACAACCGTTAGGGATGCTTAGTGTTGGTGTAGTATGATGTTGAAGTATTGATAACTGCTAGGGATGCTTAGTGTTGTTGTAGTTTGATTCTGAAGTATTGCTTAGTGTCCTTGATGCTGAAGTACTACTTTTGGATATTTAAAAAGAGGTGTTACCTGTAGCAATGGTTGAATGATAGGGGAACTAGTGGTTATCATACACTGTTATCTTGCCAATGTTTGAATTTAAGGTTTGAAAGCATTGCACGGCCATTTCTTTTTTATAATATGTGGCTTAAGTCTGATGCTGTCATCGATATAGTGGAAAGGTAATGAATTCTCTTTTAGTTCCAAGAATGGGTGTGGGAGTTTGACATTTGCAATGTAGTTAAAGTGTTTAAGGACTTTGAAATCTGAAATGTTTTTCATTATTGTTTATCTATTGGAAGAAGATGGGTTGGTAGATTGATGGTTTATGACTAGGAGGAACATAGTGGACAGATTTTGTTTGGAAGATTAACCAGAAACAAGCATTGAGGGTTGCTTGAAGAAGTTGACGTTCATGGAACAAAGAATGTCCATGATTGCTTATTATATAATAGAGCAGGTCCTTGGGGAGACAGTACAAAAACTCACTCGGTCAATGTGATTGCGACTTAGATCAGTAATTCATTTTACTAGTTCCATCATGCAAATGGGTTGTGTTGTTGAAAACATGGTTTTAAGGGGATGCTGTGGCTTTTATATTATTTTATCTGTATTATAAAGATTAGTTCATGAATGTGGAGTTGCTGGACAAGAAGTGCATATATGACTTTTGTTTGGTAATGAGGTGCAGTTGCTTTTTTGCAAAGGGGTGTTTGTGTTGAAAAAACATCATTCTGATGCTTCCTTGGGTGCTTTTTTATGGTTTTGACATCTTTATATCAAAACCGTCCAAAAGCACCCAAAAAGCATTGATTTGATGCCTTTTCGTTCCAATCGCATTTTGAAAAGCACTTTCTAGCACAACAGCATTACCAAACGGTAAAATATTTTTCAATTGCTGAAGTATGAGGAACAGTGTTGATTAAAGCATTTTCTTTATCTGAAAGCTAACTCAAACTATTCCTTACAGTTACCTAAACTGATGAGTGTAAAATATTTAATGAACCGGATAATATTGCACCATTAGATGGATTGATCAAGTAGTAAGAATACAATTACATATTATGCTGTCATAATTAAACATGATGTGGAAAAAAAGGATAAAGAATATGTGCTCTTCAGTGGGATCAGGTGTAAACAATAGAGCATTTGTTGTCATATTGCTGAAATGGGTTTGTGCATGCATGGATCATGATCTTGCAACTCTAATGAATCCTCTTGACATTTTCTTGAAAAGTTTTGAAGCAAACTGATTAAGCTTTACTTTGTATCCTGTCTGGTTATTCTTTGAGTTAACCTCCTTGATATGCCATTTGGAGACCAGAACAGGTGTCAGGTTTTGTCCCTAGTTCTGGCGAACCAATTCAAGCTTGAAAATTTTCCATGTGCCCCACTTAGGTTTGAGATTTCGGGTTGCATATAATGAACTGAAAAGTGACTGCTTGTAGAAATATAATCCTTTAAGCTTTAAGTGTGTTGATGGTGAAATTAGCGTATCAGGTTAATTTGGGATGCATTGTAACATAAGGATGGCCAATACAGAATTTCAATCACCTATTGTAGATAATAATAATGTTGAACTATACATCCATAGTAGTCAGCATGGCATTTCTTGAAATTTAATTTTGTATTTCAAGCAGCAACGTTATGCTCTAAATAATGTTTCTTGTTTGTTGCAGGATAGTCATTCTGTCAATAAAAGTCCTCTTGTTACTGTTGAAGTTCTGGGGAACTCTCAAAATGTTTTACCTGTGTGTAAGACTGAAAGACTGGAGGATTGTCCTCGACTGTGTGTGCTCAATACAGAAGCACCCTTCCCTCTTATCCAGTATAAAAGAAGAAAGCACAATAACGATACTGGGTCTAACCGTTCAAATGCTTCGGATAATTCAACTAGGACAAGTCAGGATCCTTGCTCATCCACAACAACAACAGCAGCGACAACATCTGCAGAAATGATGATGGCAACAACTTCAGCAACAACTACGGCAGTATCTGCTTTGTTAGAATTTTCTCTAATGGAACCTCTGGAACCCAAAGAAAATCCCAGTGTTCCTCCACCAACAATTGATGCTGCTAGTCTTGATTCATCAATGTCTCCCAGCTGCAGGAAGTTTATCAATGATCTGCAGAGTGAGATCCACAAGATTTCTGTCGAGAGAGAGACATTGAAGCTTGAAATGATGAGCGCTCATGCCATGATTAACATTCTCCAATCTCGAATTGACTTTCTCAACAAGGAAAATGGGGATTTGAAAAGGAGCGTTTGTGATGCCAAGTGAATTCCAGTCGATCTCAAATCAGTTTCCCTAACAAGGGAAACCAGTGCCAAGTGAATTCCAGTCGATCTCAAATCAGTTTCCCTAACAAGGGAAACCAGTAGCTGGCCGGTGCTTGTGTAATCATGTTATTAGTATGCAGCAAGAATCAAAAGGCCCTGCCTCCCTTCTAGTCGGATAAATTGCTACATGTAAAATTAGGATCTTATTGTTCTGTCTTTTAGTTTAGTCTTTTGCTGCAAGAGAATTAAACTGATGGATTTTGTTGCGTTTTACTTCTGTAGTGGTTAAAATAAATTGCATTGTTCTTAGCTTAGCTAAATGTTCTGTACTATGTCGATTGATCAGAATTCAGTAGTTTATGTTGTCCTCAAAATCTTGGCTTGTCGGTCTATTACGTAGGTTGGTGGAGCTTCTACATACAGAGATTGAAGAGTGCCTGTCCAATTGTCTACAGAGAGGGAAACTCTTGTGCTGATTGTTGATTTTCTTGCTAAAATGGGCCAGTCTTTTGTTTCCTGGGCCTTCGGCTCTCTGTACATGACTATATATTACGAACTTTTCAAAAACTTTTAATTGAATATTATACCCATAATGCAACACTATCATTATAGTATGCATATTGATAAGTAACATTAACCCCACCTCCAATTAAGAAAATATCAAAATTGATAAAATTCTTAAAAGAATTATTAATTCCTAAGAAATAGGTTATTTCCTATAATGAATGTTAAATATAGATTAATCCTGTTTTTGAATTGTTTTATTGTTTATACATCACATAATGCCCTAAATATCATAAAAGAAGCAACTTAAATCACTCATAAACTACATAGTGGTATATCGATACTTTATTTTGACTATTAAAACTCTAAAAAGGCTAAAAAAACAAGCCAATAAGAAACATGAAATTTTAAGATTTGAAAATACTCAAATTACATCAAGTCATCAACTTATTAAATTGGATCCTTAGTTAATTTCTTATAGGTTATTATTGGTTATTGTCTTACTTTTA